AAAAAAAGATTTGCCTTACTGTTTAAAAGCACCTTCTGTTTCCAGAGCACAAGCCAAAACCACCAAACCAGAACTGGTTTGGTTCTGTGGAATTTGCCCCCAAGTTTGTGTTCTGCCTTATCGTCTGCAACCTAGGAATAAAAAAGTAATGTGCTTGGAATACTACTTAGTAATGATTATAATTATTAAAGTATTATTGGTACAACTGACTACGTTTACAACTTTTATGGACAGAATTTTTTAGGAGCCATGAAGAGGCAGAGGATGTGAGTTTTAGTAAACTCACTTTCACACTGGATCCACTTGTGTGAAGTTGCTGACAATTAGCAGCTGAGAGTCTGAGTCTCTGGTTCTCAGCTGAGAAACTGTGGATGGCCTCTCCAGGATGGGAAGGAGGGTATTTAAAAGTACCTCTCTTCTGTGGAACCAGCTCCCACTTTGGAATTGGGAGATAGACGACCTTTATTCTAGATTTAAGATTAGGCTCAAAACTTTCCCTTTTGATGAAGCTTATAGTAAGGATTGGATGACAGGTGACACTGAACCCTCCCTTGGTACGTCCCAATAGACTTAGGCTGCTGGGGGTTTCCCATGGTGCACTGAGCATTTCTTCTTCTTCTTCACCTTAATCTAATGATCAAGGAACTGACCTCACAGCCCATTGTTCCTTCAGTGGGCTGGTTTCAGTCATTATGCAAATGTGCTGTTTATAAGATTGGGGAAACCTGCAGTCAGCTGAGACTGAAGAAGTCACTTGGATGGGTGACGAAACGTTTCTCCCACTGAAAACGCTACCTCCAGATGAACAGAATCAACCTTTTGGAACACAGCATCGTATTTCATCATTAGTTACTGTTAATCTCTGGCTGACTTCCACATTGTCTCTTTGGTTCAGTCTTCCTTTCTTACCCCTCCCCAACCAGTCACAACAGATGGCTGTACCTCCATGAGCCTGGCTGTGCTGGAGTTTTCTTCAATTCATTTTAATTAGATTTTATTCGTAATGTCAAATCACAACAACAGTTGCCTTAAGGGGCTTTATATTGTAAGATAAAGACC